TTCTGTCTGATATTTGATGAACCTTGTACAGCCTGAAGAGATGAGACTTTACCAGATTGATCAGCTAGTGTGACTGTGGAATGGGGTTGCCTCTGTGCTTCCATTTCAGGGGTCGTATGTTATCCAGTTCAGTTATCTATGGAAAACACATATAACATATAGTTATGTTATGTAAAACCTTAATTTTCTTCAGCTGGTTATTACTAGAATATGCAAAAGTTAATTATATTTCTATAAGGTCTTTCATACTGAAAGTATAACATCTTTTTATATAAACTTTACATGTAGAGGAATCATTTTACTCACCACTAAAATAGTATCAGCTCTGGCTTGTTAGATGAAGTTAATAAAGCATAAGAACCTTACATGAAAGTATAGTAATGCAAAGGAGATTACTGCTAATGACTCCTCTTAAAATCTGTTCTGAAGTGGTACTCAGATATTAAAAATCTTAGTCTTCAAACTGACATGAAAGCACTTTTATAATATTGGAAATGGTATAGGATAGTGCCTATAGTACAGTAATACAGAATTACTTTGAATTCGTTTATTTCTTTAACCAAATTACTTTACAGAGGAGCAGCTTTCAGTGCTCCCAAAGATTCATGATTAAGTTATTCTCGCTGAATAATCTGTTTAATAAAATAGTTAAACTTTCCAGGCCAAGTTTTCATCAGCACACTCTTGTGTCCATTTGATTTACACATATACACCTGCTAACATCATTTACATTTTATAACTAATTAAATTAATGCAGTAACTAAAGAAGGATACATATATGCCCTGTTTAAAATACAACACATGCCTACAGACCCTTCGACAAGAGGAAGTGTAGCTTGTTATTTAGAATAGCAGATTAAGAATCAGAAATTCTGTATTGTATTCCCCACTCATCTGTTCTTTTGTGCTGAGACTTAACAACTCTGGACCTGATCTGGTACCCACTGAAGTCAGCAATATGTTTTCCATTGATTTTAATGGTTATTCTATCAGAACCTTAGTGCCTAGGTTTTCTCATTTGTAAAATGGATTTAAGAATTAATTACTCACAAATGTCACATAGATGTTGAGAATTAAAAAATGTTGAGATTTTTCAGATGAAAGATGCTATAAAACTGATACATTTATTAGATACATCATTCTCAATATAGTTTAAATAAATAAGCTCTAATTTATTAACATTGTATGCCATGTTAGTTCTGCTTTTTGAAACTAGTCTGGAAGCCACTGAAGTTTGAAAAAAAAAAATATCCAGAGTTTAATGTAGTGCTTTAACAAGAACTGTGAGTCACAATCCCATGTCTAATGCCCCTATTGTTTCAGAAAGTTCATATTCAACTCTTGTTACAGTCAATTTCCTCTTTAATTATAACAAGTCTCTGTTTCTAATGTTACCATTCCTAAAAAAGAGCTGGTGTCCAGATCTACTCTCCAGTGTGAGACAATACAAAGTAATGGCTGCATTACAGTTTAATCCACTTTTGCTATTTTTAACTACAGCTGATGCAGACAGGCACAATTACAAGACAATCTGCACAGTTATTACAGACTCATTGCTACAAACATTGAGTGTTATGCATGGCCATATAAAATGATTTTGTTTAAGTGAGTCTGAAGATGCTGCTGGAATTAAACAAGAAATGAAAATATGAAAACAAAGTGAAACTGTAGATTTAAAAGGTACATTTTTACTATCCAGATATACATACATAAAAGATAGCACAGATGTTAAATGTCACAATGTTGGAGGCAAAAAATGGAGATCGCTTACAAAGTTATCTTTGTGTTCAGTGAATTTTCATCTAATTAGAGGCACCATGATGGCATGTTGCCTTGCATTTAGATATAGATATATAGATAGTAAGGACCCTACCAAATTCACAGCCATGAAAAATATATCACAGACCATGAAATTCTGTCTTTTGTGTGCTTTTCCCTATATAGAGGTTTCATGGTGGTGACCTGCATTTCTCAAATTGGGGGTCCTAATTCAAAAGAGAGTTACAAGAGAGTCAAAAGGTTATTTTAGAGGGGCAGCTGGATAGTGGTGGCTGTTGGCTGAGCACCCAGCTTTGAAGGCATCACCCCACCAGCAACAGCACAGAAGTAAAAATGGCAATACTGTACCATAGCATCCTTACTTCTGTGCTGCTGCTGGCAGGAGTACAAATTATGTAGATGCATTTTGCACACTTAAAAAGGATGCCACCCTTTTTGTAAACGTGTTCCAATATATTTGTTTTAGTTTTGGGTCAAGATTTAATTATAAGGTCAGAGCAATTTTTATTCTCACAAACCTGATTTGGCTAGCCTTGATGCTTGATTCTGTTCCCTCCTCCCCTTCCTAAAAGTAAAAATAAATTGAGAAGCCATGAAAATAAGTTACTTTAAAATTACCCTTAGGAAAGGCAGAAATAACAGGCTAACAGCCACATAATCTCTCTTAATTGGAGCCTGACTGAACAGAGAAAACCCTGTGAAAATTCATTCAAATTGTGATTCATCCATGTTCACAACTCTTTTGTGTTTAGTTTTTCAGAATATTCAACTACTTAGGTCTACTGGTGCAAATAGTCACAAAAAGCCTATTTTTGAATAACAGTCAGCAGTGAAATTTCAAATGTGCACTGTATTGGCTTCTCACATAATTCACTATTGTTGTTTCTGCTACCTGACTGGATGATCACGGTAGCTAATCATGAATGAATTAGAATATAACAAATTGAATTTTGAATCTATGCCACGTGACTTGTGTAGCTAACCCCTATAGCATGCATTGCAGACAGTCACAACCAGGTGAGCTGACAGAATCTCAAGGCCCCTGGACAAGGTGGGGGAGGCTAACTCCATGTTCCTGGAAGGGGCAGAATCTTGGGTGGAAGGGGTAGGGCTGGGGGAGCTAACCCTCAGTGCTGCCTGGACCATGCTGCTCCCCCCATTAAGCACCATACGGAGCATGCTGCCCACAGCTCTACAGTGTCACCCAGCACTCTGGTGGCTATTTTAAAGGCCCTGAATTGTGGCTACCACTGCTGCAGCAGTAGCAGTGGCACCTAAGTCCCTTTGAATTGCTGAGCTCCAGGGCAGTTGCCTGCCCCTCCCTCTATGCCTCTATCACTGGGCTTCTTTGTAAGATTTACTCTCCAAAGAAATTTGTGAATAATGTTAAATAATTATTATTAGAGGATTTTGCAATTTACAGATAATTCATGATTAGGAAAATGGAGTGCTTATGAACTAAGTTGGTCTGAATTATTCACTCAACTGCAGTTGGAATAGCTGATAAACCAAAGATCCAAAAGTGGTGTAGCCACTATGTTGACTCAGAAAGCTAGCACAGGACTCAATTGAGCTAATAGATCACGTGAACAAATGGGGAAGTTGTGGGACTAGCCCTGTACGAACAATCCGGTGGAACTAGTCTCAGTTGACAAAAATGCTAGGGCTACTTGCTCAATCATAATGACATCCTTGGTGAAATTCCTAGATTGTAGACTAGGAATAAGAGTTAAGGCAACAAATTAAAAGTAGGAGTTCTGAGGTAACACACAAAAAAATTGAAAGAGCCTCTAGAGCACAAACAGCAACAAAGCCAGGTGTAGCTCATGAAACAAACTGTATTTCTCTACTTGAGCAAAGAGGAACCAGTCAATCTGCTTCAGTGCCATAGCATATACACATTACTTCCCTTACTCCTGCATTACCTTGGCTCCACTGGTTTGCAAATTGAGAAGTAGGTACAAATAAAGAGTGGAATAAAAGCCCCACAGCAACTTCTCTTTCCTTTGCCCATCTGGGAGGCTGTACTGATGAGGGAGGGAGTCTTATTTCCTTTTTCACACTTGCCCAGTCATGTAAGTCTGGGCCATAATCTGACTCAAAGTAGACACATATCTGATAATGAACATGGTACATGAGTTTGTCTTCCTGTATTATGTACCTCTATTTAAAGTAGTTCTATGGCCTGTATGATCACAGTGGTTCGTTCTGGCCTTGGAATCTGTGAAAACCCTACATTTGACATGAGACAACCCAGAATTCTCTGACCTCCTCTGCCTTTTCACGTCTTTCCCATGGCCAATACTTTTCATAGAATCATAGAATACTAGAACTGGAAGGAACCTCTAGAGGTCCAGTTCCCTGCCTCATGGCAGGACCAAGTACCATCTCCCCAAGCACCATTTCCACCATCTCTGACAGCTGTCAGGCATGAATTTCCCTTTTCCATGTTAGAAGTTTATAAGGAGCAATCATTCTGTGCTATGTATCCAACTCCACTGCAATATGAGGTAACAAAGCAACAGATGCAAAAGTGAACCAATGTGAAAAGAAAAGAAGAAGGAGCTGAGCTGAGCAGGCACATTTTCAGCTCAGCTTCCAGAGCTCTCTTGCAGGTTGCTGTGCTAAGCACCAGGAGTTGTTGGCTGGGGGCAAGATCCCTCATCAGTCCAAGGCTGCCCCAGCTCTGAGGCCTCCAGGGCATCATTTTTGGAGGACAGAAGAGGGCTCAAGCCCCCACTACCCCTGAGACTTGTACCTGGACACTGTCTGCTTGCTTTTCCATCACTCAGGAAGTGAGAGGAATGCACACAGAATGCTGCATTTCTTTCCCTCTTGGCTGGGGAAGGGAGAGGGCAGAGGAGTAAGTGTCCCATGCTGTGTGCTTTTCTCTTGCTCCCTGACAGTGATGGGAAGGGAAACAGTTTCTGGGTATGAAACTTGGGGGGAGGGGCTTCAGCACCCCTGCCCTCTCTAAATAGCATCCTTGCCTCCTGAATTTCTCTTATGCACACAAACCCATATGCCCTGCCTGTCTCCTGCCTTAAGCACCTCCAGCTCTGACTCCTGCATCCCCCACACTCCAAATCTGCCCTGAGCCTCTCCTCACCCTTACATCCCACCCACCGCACCCTGCTCTGAGACCCACCACAAGCC